TCCTTTGTGACTTCTCAATCCATGCATTTGGATACTTCTTTAAAGTCTGCTCTATGTTAAATGTGACAGTCATACCAAAAATAAGACAGTCTTGGCCTTTTGTGGTATCTACATTCTAATAGAAAAGATAGTAAAAGGGCTGGGAAGGTGGCTCAGTGGTAGAGTGCTTGCCTTGTATGCATGAGGCCCTGGGTTCAATTCCTCAGCACCACATAAGCAGGAAAAAAAAGCCGGAAGTGGCACTGTGGCTCAAGTAGTAGAGCACTATCCTTGAGCTGAAGAGCTGAGGGACAGCGCCCAGGCCCTGAGTTCAGGCCCCATGACCAGACCCCCCCCCAAAAAAAAGAAAAGATAGTAAATAAATATATATATAATGATATATATATTAATATATATATATAATGCCTGGAAATATATAATATTATGAAATAGAACTAACTAGTTTCTATGAAGGATTTCTAGCCTCCAGGATTCTTCTGTAAGAATTATTTTTTTTGTTTTCTACTAATTACACACATACTAGAGTAGTATAACATCACATCATGACCAAATCATTCTTCCCATGCTCACTGGCTCCAAAGCATACAAGCCCAGCCCACCGCTGCGGGTGAGGGGTTCTGTCAAAGAGGTTCCAGGCTGGAAGAGGTTACAAAACTTCCTGGCAGCTCGGAGGACTGCCTTTGCATGTAATGAGCACTGTGTCTTGGGGGCATACTCACAGTGTCGGATCCTCTCCGGCCAGGATGTTGTGAACAGAAGGGTAAACACCGATTCTGAAACTGTTTTCAAGTTAGAGCTCATCTGAGCGTATGAAATGAATGTTTTACTTGCTGTGTCTTTATATTGCTGACCTAAAATATAAAGGAAGAAAAAGACATCACCGTATCTAATTGTAATCAAATAATGATGATACTTTTCACTTATGCAGCACTTGTCACCCAAGGATTTCAAAGTGTTTTGCAAACATGCACTAATTAAAGCTCACAAACAGCCCGAGGTAGGTGACCTGCTTCCCCGCCACAGGACTGTCAGATCGGTGCCCTGAGGATCCCAGGCCCATGCTGGCTGTGTTTCCTTGTAATGTGCTGCATGCGAAGCGCCACGTGTCATTTACAGATTTCTGTTTTCCCTGTGAATCATCCCAAGCTCAGGTTTCTAATGAATGCTGTGAAGGGTCTGTTTCAAGCCTCATAAATACTTAGACCAGTTTCATTCTCCTGCTTCCTGTATGCTAGATTTCTGCATTTGTACAAACCAACTCAGAAGTGAATTTATATTTGTTGGTGAATTTTAAACATAATTTTTCACTTTAAAGAATAATTCACAGTTATTAGGTTCTAAAACTTAATATTTACTATTCTTGGTTATCTTCTCACACAATTTATACAAAAAAAAAATACTGAATGGGGAAAGGCCCCAAATCCGTTATCTGAACACTAGGATAAAGGCTAACTATCACTATCTAATTGTGAAGAAAAAGTAGTACGGTTGCTCCTTAGGTCAATGCGGAAGGAAATGTAACTTTTTATGTGGGTTTGAAGTGACAGGAAAAGAATTTGCACACATAGAGACACACTGTTGACAGTGAGCTTCCATCCACTTAAGTAACCGATCATACACACATACACACACAAACACACGCACACACACACACACACACACACACAAACTATACTCTAAAGCAGAATGGTCACACAGGAGAAGAGCAGAGACAGCACATGAGAGAGGTGTTTCCCCGGTTCTGATGCTGTTCAAGTCAAGTCTTCCTGAATCAGAAAAGAACAGTTTTTGCTATAGCACGGCCCTTTTGTGAGCCTGATTTCTATCCCTTTTAGGATTTACATAAAGAGTCTCTGTGTTTCTATTTGAAGGATCTGGCCTGACCAGCCATTTGGTGTACAATGTGACAGACACGTCTCATCAGCCGTCCCTAACCATCTGGCAATTGTGTGCGTCCCAAGAGTGATGTTGTGAATACCCAAATGGCCCTTGGCAGAACCGCTATGTCCCTATCTCTGACGCCTGATTTAGAGGAGTACTCACTATAGAGTCTCCTAGATTTCAATCAGACCCATATTAGCAAGGCTACATCCTTATCTCAAGACACAAGTAAGATTAGTATGACGTGTTCCCAAAGAATGCCTACCTCAGGTTTGAGCATTCTGGAAGTGCTCCCCCCCCCCCCGCCCATTAGACTCAAAACAGGTATTAAAGAAGCAAGTTGTAGTTTCAGAGATAATTTGATTTAAAAAATATTACTTTATTTTAGTTGCTCTTGTATAATACAAAGGTACCCATAAACTTCACAGCGTTCCTTCAAATTAATCATTATGATTAAATATTTTAAAAGCTTGCTTTAAGAGTCAGTTTCAAATTTTCTTTCCTAATTTTTCCTAAATGATATGTTCGAAAAGTTATATGATTTACAATAGAAAATATCGCCCATGTGGCGCAACTAAAGTTATTTTCACTGTTGGCAAAGCACATAGGAAAAATTACAGAAGTTTGCCTAGGAGTCATAGAAGTTGACATTGGAGATACCCCGGAGAACCCCTTAAAGCCCCAGGAGCCTTTAAATGCCCTTTCTCATTGAGGAGCCAGTTTTTTCAGTCAGAACTCCTGATATAGGGGTCCAGGTCACCCTGTCACCAAGGAGCCACTTGGTTGCTGCTGCCAGCACCGTGGCTGGAGAGGAGCTCTGTTAAACGCCCTGTGGAGGACCGTCCTCTTCTAGCAGAATTGCAACACTAGGCAAAAGGTCCTTTGTGAGATGCTCTGTTGTGAAGATAGTTTTTCATATTTGTTCAGTAATCCATTATGTGACCATAGTCCCTAAATTGAGAAAAGAGGACAATTAATTTCAGCGTTCGCCCTCATTGGAAGTGTTAAAAGAGGTATGGAGCGATAAAAGGCAGGTGGTGAGTAGAGCGATGGAGGAGACTGAACTGCAATCTGCACACATACGCTCAATCCTTAGGTAGCTGAGAGCTGTCTAGATGCACATGCAGTTTGCTATCCTCAGCCCATGGGAGAAGACATATCAACAGCCAGCTTTTTCTGTAATTCTAAACTGACACAGGTGTATCTTGAGAATGAACAGAAGTTCATTGAATCCAATAAATTACCTTTTAAGCTACTTTTAAACTAGTATTAAGTTCTATGTCAGGCATCAGTATCCCATGCCTGTAATACCAGCTCCTCAAGAGACTGAGATCTGAGGGTCAAGATTCAAAGCCAGCCCAGGCAAGAAAGCCTCTTAGCACCAATTAACCACCAAAAAGTCCGAGGAGCAGCTATGTCTGAAGTGGCAGAGCACTAGCCTGGAGCAAAAAAGCTCAGGGACAGTGTCCAGGCCCTGAGTTCAAGCGCCAGGACAGGCACAAATATATATATACATATATTATACATGTTATACATATATGATGTACATTTTACATATGCATATAATAAAGAACCATATGTGTGCGTGTATATATATAATCTCAAATTTTAAATTTATTTTCCACGTTACCAAGGTAAAAAAAGATGCTTATATTTTAACCATTTCAAAATAGACTTCAGACTTAAGAGTTTCAACCAACTTTGGAAATTATATACATGCTATTTTTCATAATGATGGAACACTCAAATTTTTATTTGTCTAGGATTGCTCAGTATAGATACTAACAGAAACTTAAAGTTTAGAAAGAAGTATATGGCTCATGTATTCTGATTCTTTGCATATGCTCTTCAGTTCTGTCATACACACCCATGAGCGTGCACACACACACACACACACACACACACACACACACATGCACATGATCCAAAATCTTAATTGGCTAGTAAAATGTTTCAACTTAATCTCACTTTGCTCAGGGAACGTATTTTTAATCACGTTGAGGTTCCGCAGGTGTGAAGCATGTTTCCATCTAGTACAATCTCAGCCTTTCGTCATTTCGGTCTGTTTTTCAGAGCTTACCCTTGCACATTGAATTGCTTCCTTTGGTTGGACTCGCCCTCGCGAGTCCATGCCTGGACTGCATGCGCTGTGCATGAGCATGTGCTGGCCGCACTGCGGCAGAGGCGGGCGCTGGGTCACCTCTCCGGAGCGCTGCGTAGCTCACTCATTCCTGAAAAGCACTTGGTGAACGGATTTCCTTTGAAGTAGTTTATCTTGAGTGCAAGAATATATTTTTAAAGTAATTGCAAGCGTATGTATGCTTCAGGCTGCCTTTATAACTCAAAAGGTGACCCTTCCACTTTAATTTCCACACCGTAGTTGAATCAGAACCTGTAACGGGTTGGTTGTCAACTCAAAAGGCGTATGACTTTGCTTGCCACTGCTGCTGCGCATTTTCACATTGGGAGGCATCCCTTGTGCCTCTGGGGCTTGTGCTGCCGTCTGGCCACGGGTTAGCAGCCGGTCCTGACAGAGGGAGAGTTGCCCCTGTCTTCATGGGACAGACTTTCAAGCGCAGAACTTTTTTCTACAGCTTTAATTTTATCATTTTCTAGCCACATACTGATTATTGCTAGTATGTAAAAATCACTTTATATTTTCTCACAAAGAGCCATATATATGAATAATTTATTCAGCCAGGAGTATTTAATCTGATTCTTAGACTAACTATGTTAGGGCTTTCTGTTATAGATTTGACTTTTTCCTGGCACTGGATTGTGTTTTCGGAGTTTGTTGGGGCTCTGTCACTGGAGTCATTGCTGGTTATTTTGGAGAATGAAGTCTTAGAGGCTTCTCTACTAGGCTGGTTTCAAACAGTGATCCTCCACATCTCAGCCTCCTGAGTGTCTAAGATAACATGCGTGAGCCATTGGCGCCTGGCCAAGTTCCATACATATTTTTAGAAATAAATATTTTATTACACACATGTGAATGAGAAGAAAAAAGCAGTGATACCAGTAGAAATAACTGTGACTGCAGCAGGAGACTCTTGGCAGTATAGATGTTAGGTTTGAGATCTCTCATTTAACCTGCTCATCACTGATTGTCCTCCTTACAGCCTTGCAATGGATAGCTTTGGCCAGCCGGTGGGCATCCTGACACGCCCTGCGACCGCCTACGGGTTCCGCCCCGATGAGCCTTACTACTACGGCTATGGACCTCGATAAAGTCATCCCCATCTGTGCGCTTTCCTCCTAGAAGAAATCCCTGTGGGTTGGGTTAACTTTGAAACTTGGCCTAATAATGCATGTTGATACTATTGTGGGTCTGTGCTTCTTATGTGTCCACGTTGTTTGCTGGAGAGTAAGTCCAACCCGTCTTCTGTTACGAGCGGTCGATGCGAACGCTGCTCATTCAGCCAGCAGCATCACCGTGCTGAACACCACTTCTCTGAGACTCCCTGTGGATGTTGAAAAGCTACTAGACTGGAAAACAAATGCTACCTTGTGTGTATTACGTGACTAATTTAATTTCTATTAAAACCCAGCATAAAGTGCAAATGAATGAACCAAAGTCATGTGTTTGCCTTTACTGTGTTTTATTAGAAGAGGCATGCCGCATAGGGTACACATGAATTTCACTTTCTCCCTGCTTATAAACTCTTTAGCATTTCATGTGACATGTTCTCTGTTAAAAGTTTATTAAAAGAAGGACCTTGGGTTTTCTTTTTTTTTCTTTTTTGAGACAGTGTTTCACTATGTAGACCAGACTGGCCTTGACTCTGTAATCCTCCCTCTCCTCCTGCCTCCGCCTCCACCGTGCCTCCCGCCTCCCGCAGAGCCTCCGCTCCTTACTTCATTCTGTACCTGAAAGCGTCCTCCACCAGGTGATTGATTAACTGTGAGCTTGTATTAACGGTGGGACCTGCGCTGTAGGTGGCGGTATAGATCAAGTATAGGCTCTTAAGCAATTTGATTTCTTGACTAATAACAAAGCCTCCGACAACTAACACAAATAAAACTGGATTTATGTCAGCTTCTCAGTTTTATTCTTCATGAAACTTAGACTATAAAGTATGGAAAAGGCAATTATTTTAGCCTCATTGAGGAAGGCTAAGGAATTGACTATTTCAATTAATTTCCGTTTGTTCACTTAATATTCCATAAGGTAGAGTTAGGTGATAGGAAAATCAATTGGTTATAGGTACTTCATTCACCTTTGCTTGAAAAACTAAGTGAAATAAGTATAACCTGTAGTTTCTTCATAACCTGTCAAAGAAAATAGGAAGCTTTAAAGACAAGATTTCTATCCTTAAATTTAAAATGACATTAACCATACTGTTTAGCCTAATCTATACATTTTTACCATAAAGCAGTAGCACTGGGAAAACTCCTTTGAAATAATTCAGTTTATCAACTTATTTAAAAGAACAATTTCATTAAAAATATCAACATGTATTTTCCTTATCTGATATGTATAAGAATGTAGATAAAGTTCTTTAGGCAATGTACATGTAAGATGTGACTTATGCCCTCGAACTCAAGCCTCACTAATCCTTCAGAAAACATGCATTCATCCTCATAGCTTCTACTGTATCCCCAAAATATTAAATGTAGAAAGGGCCTTAGACTCAACCCTGTCAAACTCTCATTTTTATGGGAAGAAAATTGAGGCCAGCAGAGAGTAAATGACTTGCACATACTTACTGTTTAGTCAGTGATACGACTCAGTGTTTTCTTGTTATTTACCATATGCACAAAGTATAAATATTTTAAGTATCATTGATGAAAAATAAAGCAACCATTCAATAGCTTTTTAGATTTAGGATAAGAACATTCCACAACTTGTATCATGCATTTCCAGAACTCTGACTGCTCTCCCTATATGTTTTTATTCTTTTAAGACTTCACACATGTAGAAATTTTCGTCTTTCCATCAAGGCATAGACTGGTTTGCCATGGCTTTATTTGTGAAGGGTTAATAAGGAAGAATATTCTTGAAAATTCTTTTGTACTTTGAGAACAAGTGAGTTTGGCCTTGGGTATTTATAAGTTTAGCCTCACCAGAGTGATTACAAGTTAAGATGATATCCAGCTTTTACAACACACACTACGAAATTTCTTGAGGAAAAACAATTAAAATTTCCACAATCTTGGGCTGGGAAGGTGGTGCAGGGGTAGAGCGCTTGCCTTGAGCTGAAGAGCTGAGGGACAGTGCCCAGGCCCAGAGTTCAGGCCCCACAATCTTGGAAACCCAGAATAGGAAGATAGCTTAGCATAGCAGTACAATGTTTTCCTCCATGAACAAAGCATTGAAAAAAAAATTAATCTTGAGAAGAAACATAAAAAGCTTTAAAGAAGCAAATTACCTTCAGGCAGAAGCAGGAGTAGGAACAATAGAGTTGTTTTTGTTGATTTAGAACTCAAAAATACTACACTTGGTGATATTTTTCTCAAATACTTGGTTTCTGTTTCATGGCGGAGATAGATATCCTAACATTTCAGACACTGTACTGCCCATCACTCCCCTCCACTGCCCAGAGTCATCTGATAGCTGCTTTTGTAAACCAGGCTAGATTCAGCCTAGCATTAGAAAGCCGCTGAATGATGGGTATGAGCCATGAAAGCAGACTTGCAAATGATAAATTGTGATTTTGTAGGCACCACCAATGTAAAACATTCTTCCTGAAAAGAAAAATGCACATGACAACATAATTCAAGATGCATGGCATGGTTTTAAGCCCAGGAACTGAACTGGAGGGAGGGATAGTGCTTTAAGGCTTTGGAGTCCCTGAGCTGAGCAGGAGAGGAGACTCCCTCCCCGAGAGGTCACACTTGTGTGTCTTTGCACTAACTCCCCCTGGAGGAGCGCTCCTTCCACACCCAGCCACGGGCCTCCCACAGCTGTGCACCCACTAAACCCAAGCCTCGGGAAGACCACCGTGAATTGCGGAGGCAAGCCACCTGGAGAGAAAGAAGAAGTGAGCAGAAAGACAAGGCTCCTCACCCCACTACCCAGAGAATGCAGAATAAATCTGTTAAAGATGCTCATTAAAATCAACCCACCTCGCCTGGAGCCGGTGGCTCACGCCTAGCAGGAGGCTGAGATCTGAGGATCATGGTTCAAGGCCAGCCCAGGCAGGAAAGTCTGTGAGACTCTTATCTCCAATTAACCACCAGAAAACCAGAAGTGGTGCTGTGGCTCAAGTGGTAGAACGCTTACCTTGAGCTGAAGAGCTCAGGGACAGTGCCGAGGCTCAGAGTTCAAGCCCTAAGACTGACAAAAAAAAAACAAACAAACAAAAATCAAAAGCCAAATTGGGAAAACAATTCCATTTGCAATAGCCTAAAAAAAAATGGGGGCAACAAACCTAACCAAGCAAGCAAAAGATGCCTATAGTGAAAACTATACAAAAATCTGAAGGAGGAAAAATCTGAAGACAGATATTGCAGACAACATCAGGAAATGGAGAGCCTTCCCATGTTCATGAATAGGTAGAATTAATATCATGAAAATAATGCATCTTCAATGCAAATAACGCAATCCCCATCAAAATCCCAATGACATTCTTGACTGAGAAAGAGAAAACAATCCAAAGCAGAGCTAGGCAAAAAGTAAAAGGAAAAAATTGCCGGTGGTATCACAATCCCAGACCTCAAGCTCTACTGCAGAGCTATAATAGCAAGAACAGTTTGGTACTGGCACAAAAAGAGGCTGGAAGATCCATGGAACAGACTAGAAGACCCAGAAATAATGCCATACTCCTATAGTTACTTGATATTTGACAAGGAAGCCAAAGCTATGCAGCGGAAAAAAAGATAGACTCTTTAATAATTAGAGTCGGGAAAACGACATCCATATGTAGAAAACTAAAATTGAATCCCTGTTTGCCACCATGCACCCATATCAACTCAAAGTAGATCAAAGAACTCAATGTCAGATCTGAAACTTCGAAACTACTGCAAGAGGGAGTAGGAGAAACATGAGAACTTGTAAGTAGAGGTGGGGACTTTCTGAAGAGTCCCAGGAGCACAGCAATAGAGACGCTTGACAAGTGGGATTACAGCAAAAGACAGTTGCTAAACTCAGAGGACAGCCAGCAGGAAGAAGATCTTTACCAGCAATACATTTGGCAAAGGCCTAATAACCAAAATATACAAGGAGCTCATAAAATGTAGCACCCCTCAAAACTAATAAGCCATTAATAAATGGGCAAAGGCGTTTGAGAGACTTCAGAAGTTAAGAATGGGGCTAGGAAGGTGGCTCAGTGGTAGAGCGCTTGCCTTGCATGCATGAGGCCCTGGGTTCGATTCCTCAGCACCACATAAGCAAAAAGGAAAAAAAAGCCGGAAGTGGTGCTGTGGCTTAAGTGGTAGAGCACTAGCCTTGAGCTGAAGAGCTGAGGGACAGCGCCCAGGCCCAGAGTTCAGGCCCCACGACCGGACCAAAAAAACAAAAACAAAAAAAAACAATTTAAGAATGGCAAATACACATGAGAAAACATTCAACGTTCCTGGCCATAAAAGATGTAAATCAAAACTTTGAAGATTCCATCTCACCCCAATTAAACTGGTCATAAACAGCTCTGTAGACATTTAGTGAGACCAAAGGAAGATATTCTTAAGAGAGGATCACAAAAGCTCAATAGCTACGTGCATATGACCACAGAAAATATGGAAATGAGCTCCAAGAAATGGAAGGGGGGGGGGTTCTTACTGTTTTTGTTTTCTTTACCTTTTGTTTGTAAGTTTATCTGTTTTGGTGTGGGTAGGTGGAGGGGGCACAGGGTGGGGCAAAGGGTGAACAAATGTAGCAGTGATACTCACTAGAAATTATGTTCAAAATGAACTATGTAACTTGTCAGTAGGGAAAGGAGAGAGCAAGGGAAGGGGCGAAACTGTTCAAAAAGAACTGTACTCGCTACCTGATTTATGGAGCTCCCTCCCCTCGGTACGCCATCTTTACAATGACAATAAATGTATATTTTAAAAATTAAAAAAATACTAGCAGGGATGTAAGAGAAAAAGGAACCCTGGTGCGCTCTTGGTGGGAATGTAAACAAATACAGCCTCTTGGGAAGGCACTTTGTAGGTTCCTCAAAAAATTAAACACGGACTCTGGGCGCCGGTGGCTCACACCTGTCATCCTAGTTGCTCAGGAGGCTGAGATCTGAGGATCGCAGTTCAACCAGCACAGGCAGGAAAGTCCATGAGACTCTTATCTCCAATGAACCACCAGAAAACCAGAAGTGGTGCTGTGGCTCAAGTGGTAGAGCCCTAGCCTTGAGCTGAAGAGCCCATGGACAGTGCCCAGGCCCAGAGTTCAAGCCCTGTGACTGACAAAAAAACAACAACATAAGTGGGCACCGGTGGCCCATGCCTGTAATCCTAACTACTCAGGAGGCTGAGATCTGGGAATCGTGGTTCAAAGCCCGCCTGAGCAGGAAAGTTCGTGAAACTCTTATCTCCAATAAACCACTCAGAAAACCAGAAGTGGCGCTGTGGCTCAAGAAAGTAGAGCACTAGCCTTGAGCTGAAGACCTGAGGGACAGCGCCCAGGCCCAGAGTTCAAGCCCCACGATTGACAATAATAGTAATAATAATAATAATAAAAACTTCCCTGTGGCCCAGCCACACCACTCATCTCCCTAGGTCATGATGAGTCAGGAGACAGTAAAGACACCTGCACATCCATGTTCACTGCTGCCCTGTTCACAATAGCCAAGCTATGGAAACAGTCCACATGTCCAACAACAGATGAGTGAATCGATAAAATATGGCACCTGTGCACAATGGAATTGTACTCATCCATTAGGAAGAATAAGATTTTGTTACTTGCTGGGAAATAGATGGACCTAGAACAAATAATGCTACATAAGAAAAGCCAAGCTCAGACATAGAGACCCTGGTTTCTCTCAGATGTGCTGACATGTACAGGACTCTATAGGCATTCGCACACACAGTGAAGAGAGATACCCTTAGGGGAGGAACACAAAGGTGTAACTTTCTCTGAACATTTAAAATAC